TATATATATATATATATATATATATATATATATATATATCTTTTAAAAAGATATATATATATATCTTTTTAATTTATAAAGTCCTATCATTCTAAGTAATATATTTTTTTTAGAAGTAAAAAAATGCAAAAAATACGATATCCTTTTTAATTCTACAATTTTACACATTGCAGCTAATTCTTTACGCTTTGTACTCTTGAATTGAGTATTCCCTTAAATTGGTACATGCATTTTCTACATTCAATCGAAAATTTTATTATTTCTTATCATTAGTTGAATATAAAGTTTGGTGGGTTAAAACATTCTTTTTGGTGAATCCTTAGAGCTATCGCTGCTTTTATAATGCGTATCTCAACTTTTAGCCTAAATAGTTCAAAGCATATTTTCGTTTCAGTAGAAAAAACGGGAAAAAAATACGAAAATATTTTTTATTCCTGTTTACTTCTAAGAAATGTTGGTTGCGATTATTTCATTAATAATAATGTCATCAACACCCTGTCTCACGCTTTTAACTTAAAGATTGTGCTCAAAACCCTACTTTTTTTCTACATATATACGACTGCCGTGAAAAATTGATTATCAGTCATATGATTGGAAATAAAAATTATCATATTCTGTCTCAAATGTTTCCCAAAATCTCTCAACGGCTGTATCCGTAATTTACTCACAACGACATTTTTTTCTCTTCCCAAACAAATTTTAAAAAAATAACATGTTATCTGCAATGTTACATATTTTTTAAAAGTAATACAGTCACACAATTTGCACATAGATGCATTAGTACACTTTGTACTAATAGTGTTCTTTTTATTACTAGTTAAAATATGCGAGACCAGGGTTTCTACCTGTCACGAGAATTTTCGTAACATTTATTCCGAATTTGATGATTTTAAATGATTTTTGAGCTAACTAATTTTTAAGATTAAATTTTTCCAACAAATTTGATATCGAGTAACAGGATTTAGTTTTTAAAAAGAAGTGGTAACTAACAGACCCTGTAAAAGAGTTTTTTGATTGAGACAGTAGAAACTCTGAAACCGGCGATAACCGTCTTCAGGGGTCTGTCCAGACATACTGTGAAGGGTCCTGTTTTTGTAAAATTGTGAAAAACATATTCATAATTTGTGAATATAAAATAATCGTTAAGTCTCATTCTTTAACCAGGGTCCTGCTTTTGTGAATTTGTGCTAATAGGGTCCCTGTTATTGCAAAAATTGCTAAAAACCCTTTCAAGAAGTTTTTAAATTGTAAATAGATACAAGATTCTGCTCAGCAATTGATGCTACTAAATTAGAGATGCAACATACGAATATTTGATATTTATCCTATATTGCTCAACACAGAATTTTCATTTTGGACGAATAATAGAAACAAAGTCATTAACATTTTTAATAATTTCAATTGACATATTTTTAACACAACTCAGTAAGGTATCATTCCAGAATGTGTTACGCATTAAGTAAACTTAAACAATTCTTAAATTTATAATATTTTATTTAAAAAAATATTCTATTAATTAATTTTATGGATGATATAAATGATGAAAATGTCATGGAAAAATATGATTTAATATTAATAAGAATGCGCACAGGATGTTTGTAAAAGTAGAAATATTTTCTTCGAATACTACATTTGGAATTTAAACTGAGGGAAACTTAGTTTGTCTCAAACCGTCTTTCATCCCCCCTCCCGGGAAGGGTTTATTCGATCAACAAAACAATAATGAAAATAAACAAATTTGTGAAGGGTCCGATTAAAAGATAAATTATTTTGTGAAGGTCCGTTAGTGTTTTC